GCAGATGACTGCCTCTGTGGCAGGCACAAAGTGAGTGATGTGCTTTGCCATAAGCGGAGCGGGCACGTCGTACATTGGCACGTTGGTCATGGTGGCAACATCCCGCTTGTTCGGTCGTGTCTGGCGGGGGTCACGAGCTTCCACCTCAGGGTACATTGACGGAGATCCTAGTGGCTGCTGGCAGGACACACAGAGTACTGATGTGGATAGGGAGTCACTTTCAGACATCGTCGACAGTGAAGCCTTCGCGATCTGGGGCCGCATAGCGGGCGTGACGAGGTCCGTGGTCGTGGCAAACTGCAGGGCGTGCGGCGATGCAGTGGTCGTGGGGACTAGATTGTCACAGGGGTTGTGGGTCATGAGAGTGGGGCAGAACGTGCAGGTGGCGAGCGTGCCTGAAGGACCATCGGCCGAAGACTTTGAAAAAACACACCTCGTGGCGGACTGGTCGCCGGCAGCAGGAACGTCTGAAAGAACCTCGTCGGTTATTTGACCAGGCGCGAGAATTGCTGCGCTAGTGGCCGGACCAAAGACGGTCCTCGTGGCTGAGTTGTCCAGTGCTGCACGAACGTCCTGAACCTCTTCGGGTGGTCAGTCGGGTGCGAGAATTGAGTCGGTAGTGGCCGGACGAGAGGTTAAGGGAGACGTAGCCGGACAATCGAAGGCTTGGTCAAGGCTGGGATGATGGCCGGTTGGCACCGCTTGCTGTGACTCACGGGAAAGCGGGAAGTCACGGGTGAACGAAAGCGGGCGGTAGATGAGGCCATAGGAGGCCAGCACCGCAGAACAGAGGTCATTGTCAGGCTGCTGGCTGGAGGTTGAAGTGGCAGAGAGATGACGCAACTCTACCGGAAGGGCGTCGTGAAGAATGGCGTGCATCAGCGGCTGGTCCGTGACGCCATTCACCGCAAGAACGGCATCGAGCTACATAAACTATACCTTGGGATACGTCGATTGGAATGGCGGCATTGGCCGACGGAGTCGCCGGAACATGACAGCCGATGGCTCGTCGAAGGGCGCATTCTCCGGGTCACCATATGTCAAGGAAGGAGAGGCGAGACGTTCGCGACGAGCCCGTGCCGAGTTCAAGGCTTTATTCGGGACGCAGGCGTAGGCGAAGTCACCGCCGCAGCGTTAAGCCAGGTTCTGAAGCTAGGCTGTTCTGCAATACCTCGTGACTCACTTCTTTTTCGACACGGCCAGTAGGCCAAATCTAGCATGGCACCACAAACCTCCTGTAGTATTTAATCAACCCTAGCAATCTTTGCCACTATTTGACTATGCTAGGCAGAAGAGCATTAATGACTGCTTCGACTTTGTGTTATGCTGGATGTAATCAGCGTCATCAATGATGTGACCAAGGTACTCCACCCTATTCATCTTAAGTTTATATTTGCTGTGCTTCAGCTTGAGTCTTCTTTCTTCCATATTGCTGGAGAAAGTTGTCAAGGTTGCTGAGGTGATTCTTGTCATCCGTTCCAGTCACCAGGATTTCATCGAACTAGTACACCACTACGTGACATAGGCCCTGCAGAAGAGTCTCAACCTCTCACTGAAAACTTGAAGATCTTGTCGAAATCCCAAAAGGTAGCCTGTTTCACTGGAGTAAGCCTTTCAGTCTGCTGATTGTAGTTAGCTTTTTAAGGAGGTCTCCAAGACTAATTGCTTGTGAGCATCTTTGAGGTCAAGTTTGGTGAACTTGACTCCACGCGAAAGCCTGGCCCACAGCTCTTCAGTACTCGTTGACTGCCTGTAACCTTGGAGTTTCCACGAATGAGCAGGCTACCATGTTTTTTATATGCGAAGCGTCTTAGGGTTGAGCTCAATCCAATGTGCAGCGTGACCACCCTTACTGCGCATGCACATCTCTTCCCCTTCTCGCCTCGCAACGCCGACGCAGACAGCGTCTGCTAGTCTGCCCTCGCTCCCCGCTCGCTCTCCACTAGGCATCCCTCCTTGCGTCATTTGACCCCCATTGGGCATGCATTCCCCCTCTCCCTCCTCTCCTACGCTCCCCCTTTTCTCACCTCGCAATGCCGACTCGGGCAGCATCTGCTAGTCCACGCTCGCTCTGCTCTCCTCTAGGCATCTCTCCCTGCGGTATTAACACCTTCATTGCGCATGCGCGCCTCCTCACTCTCCTGTCCTTTGCTGACCCCACTCTTGCCTCGTAACGCCAATGCAGGCAGTGTCTGCTAGAGAGTTTCTTGATTGAAAAAAAAATAAGTAAATACTAAATGGCAGCTCCTGCTGCCCAACCGTTCACTGGCCACCCCGTGTATATAGGCACTGAATCTTGGCCTTCAAGGTAGTTCCAGTGGGAGGGTTCTCCTGTGAATTGTTGAACTATAAAAGTTCGTAGCCTGTGTGTTAACTATATGCAGACGGGGGGTCTGTGTCCAGTCGGAGTCTTCTGTCTCTCATTGCCCATTAGCAGTGATTGGCATGTTACAGTAGGAAACACTATTTTGCAACGCCGTGATAAGCACCAGTGTCAACGGCATCGCCAGTGTAATCGTTAGTGCCCGCTGCTTCGCATTGACATATGGTTCCTTTTAGTAGGAGATAGTGTAATTTTTTATAACACCACGAAAATTGGTGCTCCCAATTTGGATGGTGTGACTGGCTCTTTAATGTCTTCTCGCTGGAGCCTCAAAAGGTCTTTACATAGCAATACTTTGTGTAGTGCCATGTACAAAATTGTAAGAAGTAGTTGGAAGAAAAGAGGCGCCTCTTTTCTGTTAACTGCTTCTTCGGGGCCTCCTGTCCCGTCCAGTCTCTGCCGCCTTTGGACCAAAATAAAGTTCTCACTCACTCACTCTCTTACAATTATGTGTGCGGTGCTACACCCAATATTGCAATGAAATGCCAACTAGCCTGTGTAGACACCTTGTTCTTCACATACCTTGTCCACAAATGCAGAAGGAACTGTATGGACCTCAAAGGAGCAAGGCTTTGCTCTTTCTTGAATTGCCAGCTTAACAGATACACAAAATTTTTCTGGGTCTTTGGAAAACAACATGTTGGGACGGTCTGCTGTCTGTTGGATGTGGCTCAATGAGCAGACATCGCCTGTGTTGTAAACAGGTGTGTCTAGTAGCTAAACTCAGTTTCTTCCCAGTGATGATGGAGTATTCCCTTCAGCAATAAGAAGGGATGTACCTGAATGTGGTGTACTTGCAGATAGTCACTTTACGAATCAAGGGCTTGACTTCACTACAGTAGCTTCTGAGCTGGACGTTGCATTGCTCACGAGCTAGTGATGAAAACTGACGGCACTGAATTACTTTTTTAATTATGGGAAAACTCACTCTAGTGTCAAGTTCCATTCAAAATGGGTGCCCTGTACTTCAAGCTGTACTGCAACAGGCTTTGGTGCAGACACACTATACCTTAGGACCAACTTCCACATGTTTTTGTTGTTGTTGGATCAGGAAGATGCACTTTGCTGTACTGATTGTGACATGGGGAACTCAACAGCATGGACAGGAATAAACAGACAAAACAGGAATTTACTTCGTTGTCAACTGGTGCGTGGAAGTGCAGTGGTTGCGGCTGCCGGCACCTCTAGACTGGCACACCTTTGCTAGCTGACCCAACTTCTTGCAGGCTTTGCTAGCGTGCCGACACTCCGTGCTGTAGTGGGCATCGCTGCATTCGTAGCAACTCAGGTGCTTTGTATCGTACGCCATGAGTGCATTTATGTTTGCAGAAATGGCCCCTTTCATCATACAGAGTTCAGACGCATCACGCTTGGCGGACTTCATGGCAAGAGCAGTCGATACCACAGTTCTAAGTTTGAGCTTAGGCTCTTCAAGCAGCCAAGTTTGCATTTGGGGGTCCCTTATGTCACTTAAAATAAGGTCTCATAGCAGGTCCTTCAAGAAGGTGCCGAACTTGCAATCTTCCGAGAGTTTCTTGAGGGTGGCAGAGAAGTTGCTGATCAATCCACTTTCTTCTCGAACACGACTATTAAACTTGAAATGGCTCATCACTATCGATGGGTGTGATAAAAATTGGTTGCTCAGCATCTTTAAGCAGTTGTCAAGAGTAGTTTCAGTCAGCTCGTTGGTTGCAAGAAGGCTGGACAGAATTAAGTGCACAACTCGCAGCTGCCGAGGAACATTGCGTGTAGCTTGTCATCCGGCATGTCATTTGCTACGAAGAATTCCTGCATTTGTTCAAGGTATTCTTGCCATGGACCACTATATTGAACGGTTCATGTGAGCTGTACTTTGGCATTTTACAATTGGTAGAATTTTTATCTTTCTGCCAATGTTATGTTCTTGGTGCACATGTGTCAAGAAATTAAACGCACACCTGTGCTTAGTGGTGGTGAACTGCCCAGGGCCTGCCACTGCCCTAGTGTGCTTTATTTTTTATCATTTGCATGCTAGGGGGCGACACCAATGATTCTCACATGTGTAACACAAATCTTGGTTACTGGTATTTCAAGTGTGTGCATTTCAGAAAAATGTCAGTTTCTAGAAATCTAGATCTTGTTTAGCAGGTCATGAAAGTCATGACCTACATGACCCGAGAAGTAACTGAAGCTGACAAAAAATTGATCATGACAATGAAAATTATGTAAGCACTCCTGTGACACTATCAAGCTATTAAAAAAAAGAGATAGAATTTTTTAATGCGGATTGCAAAATGACGAGTGTGGTATTCTTATCTCATTTTTGTTGTTGCTTAGTTTTTAAGAGTGTTATTATTGTCTTGTCTAGCCCAGATCAGTTCGCTCCTTCAGAAATTAAGTGTCAGTTGCTGTTCAGTGCTATGACTTGTGTGTTCTTTCTTCATACCCATCTGTGTGTGCTGTAACCTTTCAGGATGCGATAACAACTAGCTTATCCAGCCATCCTTTAGAATTTTACTGTAGGCACTCACGAAATGACTCCTGTTCTCCCTGCTTTTGTCGGTAGTCAGCATGAGTGTTTTGAATCTCCAGTCAGGCTCAAGTGAAGTCATGCAAAGATGTGTGTGTGTATTTGCAGCCTGCTACTAAGCCTGGGCCTGGCAGTGCGTAAACGGCTGTGGCCCATGAGTGAGTCACCATTGCAGAGTGCACTGCAGCAGTTGTCACGGCTAGGCCTCATTATGGCCTACTTCTTTGTGTGTGACCGGACCAACTTCTTTATGCGCGAGAACAAGTACTACACGCACCTGAACTTTTTCCTACCAGTGGCGTACGTGTTTGCCCTGGGACTGTTCTTCACTGAGGAGACGCAGCAGACGCAGGTGTTGCACCGGGACCAAACGGACGAGTGGAAGGGCTGGATGCAGCTGGTGTTGCTGGTGTACCACATGACCGGCGCCAGCCAGGTGCTGCCTGTGTATGTGCATGTGCGGGCGCTCGTGTCGGCCTACCTCTTTCTGGCAGGCTACGGCCACTTCTCGTACTTCTGGCACCAGGCGGACTTTGGGCTGCTACGGCTGGCGCGGGTGCTCTTCCGCACCAACCTCCTGGTAGTGCTGCTGTGCCTGTGCATGAACCGACCGTACCAGTTCTACTACTTTGTGCCTCTTGTCTCCTTCTGGTTTCTCGTTGTGGCCGCCACCCTGGGCAGTCTGCCACGCATATCAGCTGCCACGGCCGAGGCCAATCCACTTCACCACCTCTATGTGGTGCTCAAGTTTGTGGGACTCTTCTCGATCCTCACTGTGCTTTACATGTCCGAGGTGAGAGTCTTGCTCAGTCTGTGGTTGCCAATTCTCACGCACTTAAAAGGACCCTGAAATGGTTTTGTCAATTTTGTACAAACACATTGGGCCAGTATACCAAGTCCCAAGGGTCATTTACAAACCAATTTGAGTTCTCTGCGTAAACTGTGTAACTTATTACAATGCTTTAAAGCTGCAAATCACCGTGATTGGGCCAGACACGTTTTCAACTGCCTATTCACGAAGCGGCATGCTCTGCACACTTGACATGGCATGCTGTTCTGATTGGCTGTGGATTACGCTGCATAGGCCCCGTGAAGGCGGAGCTTAGCCCCGAAAGCTCGAAGGAAGAGTTGAGCTGTCTGAGGGTGAAAGGTGGAGCGGAGGAGGAGGGTACCTATTTAGTACTCGTAGCTCTGTTAATAATGGGTGCTTTGATTGAATTATGGCGCCAATAATTTGCTCTAGTAGTGGTCTAATAAAAAATGGAATGTAAGAAAATTTTTTTAGGCACCCTTTAAACAAATGACATGGCATATGTAGTTTATAAATGGGAAAAACTGTGTGAAGAAGACATAAGACAAGTGAAGTAACATGCAGGCTTAGCACTGACTATCAATTGAAAGCTTTATTGCTTAAACACTATGTGAAGGAAAGTTGGTGGAAGAAAATTACACCATCTTTTGTTAAAGGGAACCATGTGTAGATGTGAAGCAGCAGGCGCTATCGCTTACACTGGCGGCGATGTTGATGCTGGCACTTATCGCGACATTGCGCAGGAGAGAAACCTGGGGAGTTGCAGAGCTCGCAGTGATGGATCGGTGTTTCCTACTGGAACGTGCCAATTGCTACTAATGGACAATGGGAGACAGAAGACTTCGACTGGACACGAAGACCCACAATACACTTTTAGTTAACGCGCACGCTGCGAATTTTTATTGTTCAACAACGCACAGGAGAAATCTCCGACCGGTACTACGTTGAAGGTCAAGATCCAGTGCCTATATATACAAGGGGGCCAGTTGTGCGGTGTGGGCAGTCGGTTTTTTCAAACAAGAAACTCTCTAGCAGATGCTGCCTGTATCGACGTTCCGAGGTGAGAGAGGGGGAGCATAGGAGAGGAAAGGGGAGAGACTGTGTATGCGCAATGGGGTGTAAACACTGCAGGGAGGAATGCCTAGAGGAGAGAAGGGGAGCGAGCGTAGGTTAGCAGAAGCTCCCTGCGGTAGTGTTGTGAGGTGAGAGAGTAACATGCAGCTGTTGGAGAGAGGGAAGGAAGTGCGCATGTGTAGTGTGAGTGCCGATGCCGACGCCGCGGGACGTAGACTCGACCAAGAGATGCTCCGCATCTAATATAATGGCACACGAAATTTCAAGTCTTCATCCCGACGCAATGGGCTGAAGCAGTCAATTGAAAGATCACAACTGGGTGATTATGATGTGTGAATGCATTTGACACATACGAGATAATTAAACTCTTCTTTGCTTAGTGTTACATAAGAATGGTTTGCTTATGCAGGCGTTGTCCCTTTGGTTGCTAGTGAGCACTCATCCCATGTGTTCATTCGCTTGTGTTACATCTCCTTTGTGCTGTGTTTTCAACTTACAAAAGTGGCTCGACCCATTTTAGTGCGGCTTTCGAGAGGGTAGATGCACCACTGACCACCTTGTTCGTATCAAGGCACAGATCAGAGACGCTTTCGTCCACAAACAATATTTTCTCTCTGTATTCCTCGATATCGCAAAGCCTTACGATACAACATGGTGGTTTGGAATATTAAGACACCTGTCCCACCTTGGCGTGTGTGGCAGAATGTTTACCGAAAGTTACATTGAAACTTACTTGTAAAATCGGACATTGTGTCCGAGTGGGCAGCGTTCTTTCCCGAATGTTTGTCCAATAAACAGAAGTGCTGCAAGGTGGTGTACTTAGCTGCACGTTTTTTATTATCAAAATGAATTCTTTGCGCTTGTCCTTTCCTCGAAATATGCTTTACTGCACATATATGGACGACGTCCAGCTTGGTTTTAAGTCGTGTAATTTGGCCATGTGTGAGTGGCAGGTTCAGCTTGGTTTGAACAAAGTCTCTGATCAGAATGGTTTCGACTGAATGCACGGAAAAGCAAGTGTGTTTTGTTCTCCAGGAAAATAGACTTCCATTGCAAACCCAGTATTCGACTGCATGGGCAACGTCTTTCTGTTAATACTAAACAAAAATTCTTAGGCTTAATTTTGGACACCAAGCTAACCTTCATACCACACATCAAGTATCTAAAAAACAAGGGCATATAAGCCATGACTATTCTAAACCTGTTGTCACGCACTACGTGGGGAAGTGACAAGAAGTGTTTAATGAATTTGTATAAAAGCCTCATACGTACCCACCTAGACTATGACGCAATAGCATATCAGCCTGCGACACCTACTGCCCTTAAAATGCTTGACCCTATTCTTCATCTAGGCATCCGTCTCTCTACGGGTGCTTTTCGCACTAGCCCCGTGGAAAGCCTGTACCTGAAATCGAACGAATGGTCGCTCCACTTACAGAGATGTTACACGTCTTTTAAATATCTTAAAGTTAACTCAGACAAGCAACATTCTTCACATTCTATAATTAATGACATGTCAAGCTTTGCTGTGTTTGAGAAACTGCCTTCTATGAGACAGCCCTACTCACTCCGTGTGAGGGGCCTAGCGAAGGAAACCGGTGTGCCACTTGAACACGGTTTGATGGCTCCCGCAGTATGCCTGCCACCGTGGCAGTGGCAGGCGATAGATTGCAACGTGTCTTTCTTGGAGGTTACGAAGCATGCACCGTTGCACATATTCAGACATACTTCCTAGAACTACAACAGAAACACACATGTCCCGAGTTTTTTACGGATGCTTCACAGTCCAACACTTCTGTCTCGTACACAGCCGTCGATCCATCCTTTTTTCTAAAGCCAGCGTTCTGCTCTCTGATTCAAGCATTTTCACCGGCGAAGCTTATACAATACTTGCGGCTGTTAAACGCATTAAACGAATAAAACTACCTGATTGATTGATTGATTGATTGATTGATTGATTTGTGGGGTTTAACGTCCGAAAACCACCATATGATTATGAGAGACGCCGTAGTGAAGGGCTCAGGAAATTTCGACCACCTGGGGTTCTTTAACGTGCACCCAAATCTGCGTACACGGGCCTACAACATTTCCGCCTCCATCGGAAATGCAGCCGCCACAGCCGGGATTTGATCCCGCGACCTGCGGGTCAGCAGCCGAGTATCTTAGCCAGTAGACCACCGTGGCGGGGTAAACTACAGAAGGCAATAATATATACAGATTCCCTAAGCATAGTAAAAGCTCTGAAAACTCTTAAAAAGCACAAAAACCCTGTCTTTGTCTTGCTTTATTCACTCTTATGCACAGTCTACTCATCCAAGCAGCATGTAGTCTGCTGGGTGCCAGGACACCGCGAAATGCAAGGCAACGTTGTGGTCGACCAGCTAGCTGGATCCGCCAACAAAACGGCTACCAATACATCGATACCAATTCTTGCACTCGTCTTGAAACCTTTTCTAAAACGAAAACTCGGGGGTTATTGGCAGAGCACGTTGACACTCACAGGTAAAGAAATGCATGTTTTCAAGCAGCAACTTGGTCATTGGCCGCCAGTATCAATATCATGCCACACAGAAGTAATACTTACAAGGTTAAGAACTGAACATGCACTTACACATTCATTTCTTTTGTCTGATGGTGATCCACCTTTGTGTGATAGATGTGGAGAAGCACTCATCGAACTTCACATTTTAGTTCAGTGTAAACAATTAGACACACTGAGAAGACAACACTTTTCATTACCCTACCGACAACAGATACCACTTCATCCTGCAATGTTCGTTGGTAGGCAACCACTTTTCACTCATAAATCATTGTTGGCTTTTTTGAGAGAAGTCCGTACCTTTCATGTGATATACCCGGGCATTCCATAGCACGACCTCTCCAGAGAGCTCGCCGCTGCGGTGGCTAAACTGAACAAAGCACTCGTCTCACGGCCCTTGGTCGCAAGGGTGTGAATGATCGAGTCACTTGTTGTAATGCTATACATGTCCATCATGGTTTTTATTATCATACACTTGCATCATCCATTGACAGTATACACACATTTCACGACGTGGTCATGATTTTATTACTTCTATGTTTTTACCCACCTTAGCGCGAGGAATTTTAGGGCCCTTATACACCTGCTAATCACAATCATTATCTACATCTCCTGTCCCATGAACTGGGGCTCTTTGGCCATCTAACGGCCGTTGCGCCGTTTGATGGCCAAAGCACCAAACGTGATCATCATCATCATTATCATGAGGGGATCTGTGTTGTAATAAAGAAGAGGTAACCGGTAGGCTTCGCTATGGGGGACAGCAGCTCGTCCTTTCTCCAACACCGGCCTTGAGAAGTTCCCGCATTTCCGTGTCCGTAGTGTGAGCTTCAGCATCCAGGACGTCAGCTGTTACCTGCGGAGATGTGAAATTGCGTCGGCGACCATGTTGTCTTTCCAATGACGTGTTGTAATTGTGCTATGAACGAGAGCTGGTTTAGCTGTACAGGGGGGAGTTTGTCGTGAAGTTCAAAGTGGGCATAGGTGAGAGGCTTGTGGGCAGTGTAGATAGTGCAGTGTTGTCTGTGCTTCGAGAATGGGGTGGAATCATTGTATTACTTCGTATATTGCCACAAGCTCTCTGTAGTAGGCTGGTGAACTTGTCGGGGCAATAATCGTGGTTCCATCAGTGGAACTGGCAGTTGAAAGGTTCATTTTCTGAGCGGCGGGTTTCTTGGAGAACGTCTAGGAATGCCAGGTGTTGTCCATGCATTGCTTCTGTGAAGAGTTCCAGAAAGCATTTGGCACGGGGTGGCTGAGCAGCGTGTTGGTGCAGAGAGCAGCTTTGCATTCTTCGAAAATTTGCACTAATGTTTGTGTTCACGTGATGGGTTGGTTTCCTCGTACGCCAGCCAACTCATCACGGAGG